GTAGGTAGGTAGGTAGGTAGGTAGGTAGGTAGGTAGGTAGGTAGGTAAGAGGACAACTTTCAAGAGAGTTCTTTCTTGCCTTCCAGGTTCTGCCTGTCCACTTAGAGACAGAGTTTCCTGTCTCCTGAGATGCTGAATTAGCTGGCCTACAAAGTTCTGTAAATTCTCTGATCTCTACCTCCTACCCTGCTTCGGGAATGCTGAACTTCAGATGTGTGTCAGAATCCAGCTTTTATGTGGGTTTTGGGGATTAAACTCAGGTTGTAAGACTTACATGGGAAATACTTTCACCAACCTAGTCATCTGCCTAGTTTTGAGATTTTTAAACTTAGCCTTAGCTCTATTTGCAACAAAACAGCTAGGTTTAAACATCATTTATGTTTAAAATCTGAAAGGAGCTTCTTGTCCTGAACACGTAAAATAATCAATTTGGAAGAATAGGGCTGTGATTGAGAAGTTGAGTCTGAGTGTAGCCATAGACGTGTGCAGTATCTGAATTCAATCTCTTCAGGAAGATAAAAAGGAGAAATCAATTTCAGGAAAACTTGCTGATGTTGCCCTGGAATCTGGCTGGTGGCTGCCTTTACCACCATGGTTCCTGCAACAACACCCAACCCCTTGCAATAGGAGAAGTGACTGCAGAAAAAGAGGCAAATTCCATAGCAAATTGTCATATTTGTTTTGCTATCCTAGGAGTTAAAACTAAACTCTATGTAAATAATGCCAACTAGATTTGTCTGTATTATAATCTAGCCAACCAGTCAAAAGCCAAATGTGACTATTTATGAAACTAAGTAACATGTCAGTACATTACCTTACTGTGTGTTAAAAAAAAAAAAGTGCAAATAATCATCTCATATAATTCCTGGAAAATACAAGATGCCAAGGAAAACTTAATGGACAAAATTTTTCAAACTTTATTATGGAATGACATGTGGGTTTCCCTCCCACTTTCTCATCAGAGTTAAAAAATCATTACACTAAACTAGGGAGTTCCCATAAAGATAGATTCCTTAGAAGCTGTCATAACTGAGAGTCAAACATAGCCAATATTGGCATTTTTACGTTGCTTCAAATTTTAGAAAAAGAATGCTTCATGTGGATAGCATTGTTCTTCTGGATGAAATGTAAATACTTCAATCAAATACATTTCCAGGAGAAGAAACTCTTTGGACCTCCATGGAATTTAACCTCTACACTTTCTTTCCTGAAAATTGTAAACAATAACTTTAAAAAAGCATTTATCTTCATTCTGTGTGTTTAGCATTTTGCTTGTATGTATACCTGTGTACCATGCACATGCCTGGTACCTGAAAAGGCCAGAAGAGAGCACCAGATTGCCAGGGAACTGAACGCATTTCCATATGAGTGCTGGAAATGGAACCTGGGTCCTCTGAAAGAGCATCACAGACTCTTAACTAAAGTTGAGCCACCTCTCCAGCCCCAGCGCTATGACTTTTATGTCTTATTATTTTGCATGTCATCATTGCAGAATGACCCAATCCTTTGAGTTCTGTTTTAGTTTCTTCTTGGCCACACATTTTTTAGAGCTTCTTTTTGGAAGTTCTTTCGTGGTAGAAAAGATTAAAAACAGAACCTGGGCAAGCCAGGTGGGTATTCTACCAGTGAGTCACAGCCCCAGCTTCCCAAGTATAACTGACTAGAGAGAGTCTCCATTCAGTCAAGATCTGCCCATGCTGCTGGTAACAAATGACAGACATCAATATAGTGTCAACTAAGAAAGAAGGGAGCATATGGCAATAGTTGCTCCAGACTGAAAGTTCTTATTTGTTAAGGAGAAGGCTTGCACATTCCCGGGGAAGAAAAAAAAAAAAAAGAGGTTTCTTGCCTCGGTGATTCCTGGATGCTTGTTTGTTTCTCCCTAATTTTTTCCTTTATTAAAAATAGATTTTTCCTCACATAATATATGCCAATTACAGTTCCCCTCTCTTTACTTCTCACAGTTCCTCCCCACCTGCCCTACCATCCTGATCCATTTACTTTCTGTCTCTTAGAAAACAAACAGGCTTCTAAGGCATAATAATAAAGCAGAATAAAATATAATAAGATGTAACAAAAACAAACAAGAAGGAAAAGAGCCCAAGAGAAGGCACAAGATCTACTTGTTTGCACACTCAGGAGTCCCATAATAACACTAAACTGGAAGGCATAATGTATACACAGAGGACCTGGTGCAGCCCTGTGCAGGCTTTCCACAGTCTCTGTGAGTTCATATGAGCTGTGATCATGCAGACTTTG